ACACACACAGACACACACACGCACACAGACACAGGCACACACACACACACACACACACACACACACACACACACACACACACACAGACACACACACACACACACACAGACACAGGCACACAGATACACAGATACAGACACACACAGACACAGACACACACACACACAGGCACACACACACACACACACACACACACACACACACACATGAATTAAGCTGAAACTGTCATGAACCTTATTCTTGTATTAGCACTGGTGTGTACATGTACATGCTGTAGCTCTGAAAAACAAGCCTGATTTTCTTCCCAAGCTCTGTATCCAGCTACCAAATCAAAGGGAAATGTGTGTCTTCTTTTTAATACCCAGCGCGAAGCCATGTGCAGTGTTTTCAGCTTCAGCCCTGCCCTGGAGGAGTCTGGTTAAAGCAAACTTATGGTTTTGTTTTCAGGCGAAGGATGGTGGGTTTATAGTGAGGGACTCGAGCCAAAAAGGATGTTATACTGTGTCAGTATTTACCAAAGCTTTAAGGTGAGAGTCTGCTGAATGTGGTTTGGACAGATGTTTATACTCCATATCTGTGTAGATGAGGTCTAACTTGGGACTGACACAGTTCCGGTGTGTAATTGAAGATGATTAATCAGCCGCATACCACAATAGGATAAAGTACGACTGACACCCCTTAGAAATGTAAAATGTATATTTACCCTAATGGATCTGCACAAATCGCGCACTGCTATTTCACATCTTCTCATCATAATTACATGCCAATAATACAAACACCAAACTGCAGAAAACGCTCGCAGTACAGACAGATCCCAGTGACCTCACCAGCCATGCTTGTCGTTCCAGTTCGACAGATGGCTGTATTCGGCACTACCAAATCAAACAGAACAGCTCAGGGCAGTTCTTCTTGGCTGAAAAGCACGTCTTCAACTCCATACCTGAAGTCATTAACTACCATAAATACAATGCGGCAGGTGAGTCTCCCTACGAGATCCGAGGGAACGCCAGGCCAGCAAGTCGATTAAAGCACTCCTTTAAACACCCACAGGTCTTGTCACTAGATTGCGTTTTGCAGTGGGCCCCATGGGTCGGTGTGTGCCAACAACAGCGGGGTTCAGCTACGGTAAGATGGCGCACAAACGTGCCGCACGGACACTGATGTTCACTGAAGATACCACAGCATAAGTGTTTAACACAAGTCATGTAACACGTCTTTGGTGGTAGTGTGAGATCGCTGTGCGATGCAGTGAAACAGTATTAAATAATGAAGTGATTCTTCATTGATTTGTTATGTTTTTTTTTAGAAAAATGGGAGATCAACCCGTCAGAACTGTCCATCCTGAAGGAGCTGGGAAGAGGCCAGTTTGGCGTGGTGCATCTTGGGAAGTGGCGCGCTCTCTGCATGGTGGCCATCAAGACTATCAGTGAGGGGGCCATGTCGGAGGATGACTTCATCGAGGAGGCCAAAGTCATGACGTAAGCGGCGAGCGGCGGCTCTGCCGCGTGCGTCACAGGCAGGCCGGATGTCACCGGCCGCTCTGACTTCCTCTGCCTCCTCCAGTGCCCCACGCTTTCACCACATTTCCACATTTCACCTCTTTTTCCATCGCATGAAAGAGCCCGTCTGCGTGAACGCTGCCCTTTTCTGCTGAGAAAGGCCTGACTCTCACATGCCTGTCGCTGCTCTGCTATGGCGTCTGATGGCTGCATCCTGAACAGTGATTCTCTCATCTTAAACGCCCTCTTTATTTCTCGGGTTTCCAGCTGTGGCACAATGCCTGCACCTGCTACACTACAGTGCTTACACACCCATTACACTCTTTGGTCTATAGCTGCTAAAAGCCTCGTTTTTGTGGGCATACGCAATGGCTTTTAAACAGGGAAATGCTTTTGTTAGTTTGCAGTAAGCATTTAAGAACTGCCGTCTGCTATGCGTGTTTGTGTGTCCCATGAGTGCTGTGTGGCTGTCACATCGCCCTATGATTTTCCTGACTGGAATGATGCTCTGCGGTCTAAGAGACCCCCCCGCGTCCCTCCCCACAGGAGCCTCTGCCACCCCAAGCTGGTGCAGCTCTATGGCGTCTGCATGAAGCAGCGGCCCATCTGCATTGTCACCGAGTACCTGGAAAATGGCTGCCTGCTCAACTTCCTGCAGCTGCATATCAACAGCAGCAGCAGCGAGTGTCTGCTGGCCATGTGCCAGGACGCCTGCGAGGGAATGGAGTACCTGGAGAGGAACAGCTTCATCCACCGTGACCTGGTGGGGGCTGCATCCTCGCCATTACAAGACACACAACCCTCCTTCTGTAATTCGCAATGTTAAGGGCCCACAGCGGATCAGAAGTAGCCATCTAGCACCAGTCATTTAGCATTTCTGGTTTCTGATCAGCTGCTTATTCTGCAATATGAGCCAATTCTGTTTTCATCTCCTCCACAGGCTGCCAGGAATTGTTTAGTCACTGAGAAGAATGTGGTGAAAGTGTGTGATTTTGGCATGACAAGGTTAGACCTTCCTCTTTCTGTAGCCATTGTTAGTGTTGGCAAGAATGTGCCTTCATGTGTGGAAGCTGATGTCCTAACCATGTGCTCATTTCCAGATACGTGCTGGACAACCAGTACACCAGCTCCATGGGCTCGAAGTTTCCCGTGAAATGGTCTCCCCCCGAAGTGCTGCACTTCAACAAATACAGCAGCAAATCAGATGTCTGGTCCTTTGGTAAGTCAGAGGCTCAGCTCTCTCCGGGGGCTGTGTGGCTGTTTCTGTTCCTCTGATCAGAAGCTCGCCTTGGCCTCGGCAGATTAATCATATGTCCATGGGTCTTTGACCAAAAGCCCTTAACCCCCAGTTTCAGGGGTGCTGTACGCTGGCTGACCCTGTGCTGTGACGCCCAAAGATTCCTCTCACCTCTGTCTGTGTCTGATAGAGCAGGATGGGGCAGCCGAGGAGACAATTTCCCCACGGGGATTAACAAAGCGTCTCCACTTATGATACTGATGCTTCCATTGCCATTGAAAGGACCTGAATTTACCATGTGCTATGATATCTAAATATGCACTTCATATATCAATTTGCTTATGCGCGTCACAGTTGCTCAGTTGGTGGAATCATTACCTTACGCAGCAGTTGAGGGTACGAATCCCGCTTTTGTGTGCACATCGGAACTACTGAGCACAGTAGGCTTGCTTTGCTCAGAGCTGGGGAGATGTTCCACTGGTCATTCAGGACATCAGGTCTCTTTAGAACCTGGAGCCCTTGTCCTGCATGTGTGCTGACTGTGGTGCCCCCGGGCGTTTAGGTGTGTTGATGTGGGAGGTCTTCACTGAGGGAAGGACTCCTTTTGAAAACAAGCCCAACCATGAGGTTGTGGAGGAGATCACCCAGGGACAGAGACTCTATCGGCCTCACAAAGCCTCCTCTGAGGTGTACAGGCTGATGTACAGCTGCTGGCATGAGGTGGGCAATCATCCGCAGTATCAGCCTATGTTTAGCATAACAAATGTCTTTAATCCTGAGTCTTAACGGTACATCTTGCTTTCAGAATCCTCAAGGAAGACCGTGTTTCTCTGAGCTCCTGGATGACATTAAACACATTGCAGAGTCTGAATGAAAAAGTCTGGTGGTTAAATATGTCTTCAGATCATCAGTGCCAGTGATGTCCATCTTCTTTCTGGATGGCACCACACCCTTTTTGCCTCAGCAAAAACAAACGTGTGAACATCAAAACTTCCAATTGTATCAAAGACCTTACACTATTTAAAAGATTAACTGTAATTATCTGGTTTCATACTGACCACTAAAAATATTTTTGCTTTGCCCGTCTACAGTAGATTCTATTCAAAAAGTGTCTATAATTCTTTGTTTTTTTATTGTACATTGTCAGATTTATTGTATATGTCATAGGTATTGAAGGACATCAAAACATTTTAATTATTGTATAGTTACACTATTGCTTAAAATATGTAATTAAATGTAAAGTATGAATTTCATTTATTTCTGTGTGGTTAAATTAAAAGAAAAATCCAATATGTGTTTACATTTTTTAAATTGCAAAATAAAGTAGCAAATAAGATTAACCTCACAGGCTGCAAGACACCTGTTCTGGTTAACAGTGCTGTCAATCACTTTATTTATAAAACTCTTAAAAAACCTTAGGTGAGCGAGGTGCTCTGGGTCAAAGGTACTGAGACTTTCCATACACAGCGTTACTTCCTACTATGTTGCGCTAAGCACCACCACCCGCCTGCAGTATAATTACGTAGATTATTCCGGTCGCCTTCTTGTTGATCTGTCATACCATTGGTTAATACCGCTGTCAATCATGAGTGTTCAGGGCTGAGTTATTTCCCCATAGGCTAAATGTCGAGTCACTTTGTTGCTAATTTGGAATTTCATTGGACGTTATCCATCATGAGCACATCCGTTCTTGAATGGCTAGAAGACCCGCCATGAAAGCTCCTTACAGAAACTCAAATCTATTCAGCTTTGCGCTGATGGTTGCCGTGAATTTTTACTTACATCTTGTGATTTCGCGTTTATGCAGTTACATAATGTTGCTCTTGAGCCGTTTTCTTGTTGTTTCCTTCTAGCATGATAGTAATTCGGTGCACATTCGAACACTAATGGTAAGGTTATGGCTACGCTATACCCTGTTATAGTTGCCAACATGCTACATAAAGAAATACCGTCAAGAAAAGTTTGTATCAGCCTAGTTCACGATGGTAGTATTGATTATCGGCATTATACAGGTTTCTTTTTGTTTACCTCAGGGGCCTGTACAAGAATTTTACAACAATGTCGCCCTCTAGTGGGACACTATTAAACACCACTTTTTGTTGCTAAGAGACATTTTTGAAAACCTCCATTAACTTGGGGTGCACCATCACGTGCCCATGTGCTACCAGGTATTTTGCCCTTGAGTACAGAGGTACTGTATGAGGCAGCAGGGAAGTCTCCATTCATAAACATATCCAAACTAAGCTAACAAGTTTACTTTCTAAATGACTGATAAACAGAGCAGCACCATATACGGCCTTTATGGACGTTGGCCATATTAACTTTGCTCACCCAAAATATGAAAAGCTACTAAATTTGGAAGTTTTGGAAAAGGTGGGCAGCTTGCTCTCCCCATGTTCGCATGGGTTTCCGCCGGGGGCTCCAGCTTCCTCCCACGGTCCAAAAGCGTGCAGAGCAGGTTTATTGGCGAGTCTAAATTGGCCTTGTAGTTGTGTGAGTGTAGCTGTGTGTGCGCCCTGCGGTGTGTTGGTGACAGCGCAGGATTGGTTCCTCCACCCCCCCCGTGACCCCATTTGGGATTAAGCAGTTACGGTGATGGATGGATGGATGGAAAAGGTGGTTGAACAGCAACTTTGTGCCTTCTGAGAGGAGCAGCGGTTCTTTGATTCCTTTCAATCTGGTTTTTGGAGGCGACATTCTACAGAACCAGCCCTTCTTAAAGGTTATGATGACCTTTTAATCGCTGCTGATGCAGGCCAGGGCTCTGTGCTTGTACTGTTTGACCGTACCGCAGCTTTTGATACAGTGGACCATCGGATCTTAATTAATAGATTAAAGCTTTTAGGCGTCTCTGGTTCTACTTTGGACTGGTTCTCCTCTTGTTTGTCGAATAGGAATTTCTCAGTTCCACTCTCTCAGGCTCAGTTCTTGGCCCTGTACTTTTTTCGTTATATATATTCTTCCCTTATCACAGATTCTTAATTTCTTTAAGGGTATTTTGTATCATCTCTATGCAGATGATACACAGTTTAATTTTTCATTTAAACCCAATCAAATTAATACTTTGGTCACTTTGGTTGATTGTCTGTCTCAGGTTAACGATTGGCTCAGTAGTAATTACTTGCAGTTGAATTCAGGAAAGACTGAGGTGTTAATTGTTGCTCCTCCTGATTTCCATTCTGAGATTAGTTTAAAATTATCTTCTGTCTCTCCTGCTATTAAGTCGAGTCTCCGTAACCTTGGGGTTATTTTTGACCAGTCCCTGTTGCTAGATTCACATGTACGATCAGTAAGCCGTTCGTGTTTCTTTCATTTTAGAAACATTTGTAAACTAAAAACTGCTGTTTCAAAGTCAGAATTAGAAATGCTTGTATATTCTTTTATTTCCTTATGACTAAGTCCCCTCTCTCACGTCTTGTCAGTCCAGTATGCAGAGGCTCGCACTAGCCGGAGTGATCATATCATTCCCATTCTGCACACACTGCATTGGCTCCCAGTGTTTTATAGAATTCATTCAGAAATTTCAGTACTTACAGAGCATTACATGGACAAACTCCTGAACACCTTACCTGCTTACTCAATCGTTATACAGCTTGTCGGGCTCCTAGGTCTGGGAAACACGGCCTTTTAGTTGTCCCACGTACTCCGCTAAAAACCCATGGGAAGTGTGCCTTTCCGTCCGTGGCACCAAGACTGTGGAACAGCCTGCCTTATGGTCAGTTGTTGATTCTTTTAACAACTGAAAAACTCTCTTCTTAAACTCTCTTCTTTTAATCAGTGTTGAGTAGTTCCTGTTTGTTTTTTATTTTTATTGGTAATGTCTGTGTTTTGTTCGTTTTGTTCCATTTTATATTGGATTGTTGTTCAGCGCTTTGTCTGAGAAGAGCGCTATGTAAACAAACTACTACTACCTAAATTTAGGTACTGCAGCGTTAATCCGAACCGATTAGGGGGGATGGATGGACGGATGATATATACCGTTTATTATCTAAAAATATATATTCACGTTTAAAATAGGTTATAGTTATTGGCATTAATCACTAAAATGACCAAACGTTCACCAACATCCTGAAATATTATAAAAATATATGCGGACAGGGAGCAGCTCATAACCAGGTAGACCGTTGTGCGAAGTGTTAAAATGCCGTTTCACCTCATTTTCCGGAACATTCAGAAACGCTCCTAATTACGTCACAATCATGTGTGGCAGCGGCAGAGTTTTATTGGACAGTTCGGTGCGACGGGGTTCCCTGGACCCAAGCTCCGGGGCTGGAGCACAAAGCACCGTATTGGCTGAAATCGAAGGCTTTGGCACGGTGGAGATCAACTTGGGTCTAATCATTACATCTCAATAAAAATAATAACAGTAAAAACTATAAGCAGTCAGAGGTATACATTAACAAGCGCACGTGTTTTTACTGGAGGCGCGGCGGACGGGCTGCACCCTGAGCCTTACTGATAGAGCCCTCTCTCTGCTGGGTACCTGGAGGTAGGTTACGGCTCGCCCGGCTCCGTCCCCGCCGCACGGTGCACCCCGCCTGGCAGTGCATGTGGCCCGTCTCCCTCGCCTCTCCTGCACGGTGCGCGGGCTGTAATGCATGCACTCCCACCGTTTTTAATTTCAATGCAGAATATTACTGCGCTTTATGAGCGCAACCGCTGTGTAGCGAGCGAGCTTTAACGCGTGCACGCGTATCTTTTATATAGTTTTCTTATTTTAATGTAAATGTCGGGTTTGTTTTGCGGGCGGGAGGTGCAGGCAGGGCTGGTTCCATGGGCACGCTGGGTCGCCACATGGACGCCCCCCGGCTGGCCATCACGGGCGAACCCGGTGCATTCAGAGGGCAGGTAAAAGAAGGCGCCCTTTAAAGCGCCGGACCGTTGGTGGGTCTTACCGCTGCACCGGGCTGAACTGCTGCTGGGGGCTCTTATTACTGCCGGAGGAATTAAAACGACGCCACAGCTGCGCCGTGCAGCTCCCGGAAGCGGCTGCCCGGCCACCGGGAGAGCCGCTGTGCAAACCGCGGTCAACGGGCGAACGGGCTGGAGGGGTCGGGGCTGCACCCCGCGGGGACCCTCCTCCGGACGGCACGCTTTAATTTACCGTGATTGGGCCCTGGGGGTGATTTACAGGAGCCCGGTGTGCTTTGGCCTGCTGATGGCGCAGTTGCAATAACAGCTTCCTTGTAATGGTAGCGGATCTGGCCCAGCGTCCGGCATTCCGGCTTATGGGCTTAAGGTTAGTTTTACTGGGAAATGAAGAGACGTGTGCGTGCATACGGGCTTCAGGAGGATACTGCTTTTATGCTCAATTACCGGGCATGTCAGGCGTATCGGTGCGCAGCCGGGAAGAAAAATGCGGCGCAGTATGTCTGGCTTCCCCCTTCACGCCGGTTATAAACTAAGCATGATTCTCGTCCTACATGTTTTAATGATAAGGCCATGTAAGATCGTTAAGTATTTTTCCTGTTATTGGTGTGTTGAGTTTGAGTCATACGATAAATTCTAATCTCTACATGTTAAAAATAAATGAGCTCCCAGATAAGGACACTGCAGTATTACATTTGCAAACCGTTTGTAGGGTGTTAGCTTTAGTCCCAATATTTTGTTTAAAAGCTAGTTTTTCGAAAAGGTGTGTGGCTCAGTGGGCTAAGCCTCTGTGTGATGGGAAGGTCGCCGCCCGGAGCCCCGGCCTTAGCAGAGTAGTTACAGGCATGCGAGCCCCGGTATTCCAGCGCTGTCACCCCCAAGCGAAATGGGGTAGGTGACAGGAGAATTTCCCCAAGGGGATTAAAGAAGTACCACATACTGTTATTCCCCTAATATAGAGAGCAGTTGCTTTGTCAGTATGATACATAGTCTTTATCTTGGGTCAAAACACTGTGAATTCAGTAAAACTGAATTTAGCCAATAAAGAAGTCTGCAAGATTGGAGCCAGTCTTTCCTCAGGAAATCCAGAGGGTGCTGGGTGTGGCTTCATTATGGACTGAGTTAATATCACTGAGGGTGAGTGTCATTTCCCGTTTCTTGATTCCTGTTTTTTCCTGGTTGTTCTGCAGTAATCTGAATTGTGTACCAAAGAAATGGTGATGGAGAAGCCAAGTCCCCTGCTGGTCGGCCGGGAGTTCGTCAGGCAGTATTACACACTGCTGAACAAGGCCCCGGACTTCCTGCACAGGTCCCTAGCTCTCTACTACTGCCTCTGGGAGTAGCAGTCTCCACTGCCCTCCCAGCTGAACATGCCTGATGTGTGGTTTGCATATTCGGGGAACCTCTGTGAGATGTGTGAGGGTCTTACACAGGTCTCTGTCTTGCAGATTCTACGGCAGACACTCCTCCTATGTTCACGGCGGTTTGGACTCCAGCGGAAAGCCGGCAGAGGCTGTTTATGGGCAAGCTGTAGGTGTCGCTCTGCCTCTTTCTCTTCCTGTGCCTATTTGGTTGGTTTCTTAGTTGCGTTGCTGATAGTGAAAGAGGGTGGTGAGTCTGTGAGGCCTCAGAGGTCTGCTGAGTTTGAGCAGGAACTTAAACGTCTGGCTTTAGGGGGCCCAGCAGCAGAAATTTATAACTCATACCGATTAACTTTCCCGATTTTGAAAACGCCTCCAGAAGTTTGTCGGCCCCCCTTCCCTCATAGTTGATCACGTTCATTCTTGGGGTGAGGCCAGTTACTTCATCACATCTGTCTCTCCTGAGCAGGAGATCCACAAGAAGGTGATGTCCCTGCAGTTCAGCGAGTGCCACACCAAGATCCGGCACGTGGATGCCCATGCCACCCTGAGCGACGGCGTGGTCGTCCAGGTGATGGGCGAGCTGTCCAATGGCGGGCAACCCATGAGGAAGTTCATGCAGACCTTCCTGCTTGCCCCTGAGGTGTGTGGCGGGGTTCCACTCTCTCCTGGTGACCGCGGGGTTCCACTCTCTCCTGGTGACCGCGGGGTTCCACTCTCTCCTGGTGACCGCGGGGTTCCACTCTCTCCTGGTGACCGCGGGGTTCCACTCTCTCTCCTAGTTCAGCATTCTGTTCCTTTTGGCTCTGCAGGGCTCCGTGGCGAACAAGTTCTACGTGCACAACGACATTTTCCGCTACGAAGATGAAGTTTTCGGCGACTCGGAGGCAGAGCTTGATGGTAAATCTTATGGACCTGGCATATGGGGGGGGGGGGCAGTGGGGGAGGGTATGTACCCCCCAATATTTAATGTGAATTCATGAAGTAGGTAATGTCTGAGGAAATGGTAGATTTGGAGCAGTAATAGTCTGTGTACCAAACCTCATAACCTAGTGACACTCGATAGCCCTGGTGTGCTGTGGGGGCAGTTCAGTAATGCACTGTGGTCCGATATTCTTGTACGCGGTGGTGACTGTGTGACCGTCGCAGAATCCGAGGAGGAGGTCGAGGACGAGCCGGAAGAGCAGCAGCCATCCCCCGAGCCTCTCCCGGAAAGTTCTAGAAGCAGCACCTACTACGAGCAGCACCCAGTAGCGTGAGTCTCCTCTCTGCAGGGAAGATGGCACTTGGGGGCAGGAAGACTTCTAAGCGTAGGATGTATCTGTGTGAGGTTAACTCAGGCAGAATTCTGAAATGCAACAGGCTCTCTGCAAATCTGCATGTGAGGTTAACATGAGAAGGATGCTGAAATGCGACAGGGAGGGTGCAGGAGCGAATCTCGCAGCAGCCTGGGATGTTAGGGCAGCTGTACAGATGGTGTGTTGATACTTACTGCTCATTTACATATTCTTTCAACAGAAGATGGTTAATAAGAAATATGGAATTCCTGAGTGGAGGATTAGGAAACTGAATCTGTACGTCCCAGCTCTCTTCTTTCCTGACAGCCGGTCCTGCAGTCCCAGTAACTTTGGGAGCACGGTGCTGTGCGGGCAGATGGTGGAGCTGCCCCTGGTCGCTTTTCAAACTTTTCTGCCCCCCCCCGGTTTGCTGCAGCAATGGTGTGGAAGAGTCCCTGGAGGAGGTGCCACCTGAGGCCGTGCCAGAACCCCAGCCGGAGCAGAAGCTGGAGGAGCCCAAGCCCGAGGCAGAAGAGAAGGTTCTGGAAGATCTGGAGGAGAAGGCCCCGTCTCCGGTGCCTGTGGAGTCCCCGCCTCACGTACAGGAGCCCCCCAAGGTGTGTGTCTGTTGTGGGCTGAGATGCTGCTGTTGCGTTTGTGTCCCCATTAAACTCTCATATGCTAGTGATGTGAAGCTCATGCTAGTCTTCACATTGGTGGTTTTCTCTGCAGACCTTCTCCTGGGCCTCAGTGACCAGTAAAAACCTCCCTCCCAGCGGCACGGTCCCTTCCTCCGGAATTCCCCCGCATGTCGTCAAGGCCCCATCGTCCCAGGTAAGGAGTCCAGACGCCAGCAGAGACACTGCGAGCCTAACAGCGCGTGGCTTACGGTCATCATGGCCCGTCCCTTTCAGTCTCGGCCGGACACCAAGCCGGAGCTGCAGAGCCAGGCCACCCGGGTCCGTGACCAGCGCCCTCGTGAGAGACAGGGCTTCATTCCCCGAGGACCCCGGCCCGGTAGGGGATGAGCTCGCTCCCCGCATGGCCGTGAGAGTCACTGCAGCTTTATGTCCTGGGCGAGTTAGTCACTGGGGTCACATCACTGGGGTCACATCACCTCCATTTTTAATCCCTTTGACTGTCGCCTGGGTGGTAATTTGATCTCGTGTAACAGGTAATCACCACCCCTCCGCTCTCATCATTGTTAGATGGTGTGACATCATCAGATTCACAGGCGGGGAAGCCCAGTTTCAGCTTCATGAACAAAGGTAACCGTGGCTCCCAGTGCATTTTGGGTTGCAGGTGTGCGTCATGTGACGCAGCCATGGCAGTCGAGGGCTCCGTGTGCCGACAGTGTTGTGGGTGGATCTTGCAGGACGGGCCGAGTCGGAACCCTCTGAAATGGACTCCCGCCGGGCCCCGCGTTACCCTGACAGCCACCAGCTCTTCGTTGGCAACCTACCGCATGACATAGATGAGAGCGAGCTGAAGGATTTCTTCATGAGTAAGCCCCACCCCTGCGGCACCTTCATGTGCGGTCGGGCCCTTGTAACAGGCTGTGTCCCGTCCACAGCCTTTGGGAACGTTGTGGAGCTGAGGATCAACACTAAGGGCGTTGGGGGCAAGCTGCCAAACTTCGGCTTCGTGGTCTTCGATGATTCTGATCCTGTGCAGCGGATCCTGGCTGCGAAGGTACGGGCTGAGGCCGTCCTGGTTAATTGTCGGCAGCCAGAGACCCTTCAGCTGAGGTTGGCCTGATCACCTGCCCCGTTCACAGCCCGTCATGTTCCGTGGGGAGGTCCGCCTGAACGTGGAGGAGAAGAAGACGAGGGCGGCACGCGAGAGGGAGACCCGCGGCGGGGGTGGGGCCGACAGCCGCCGCAACGAGCGGGGCCCGGGGGGGCCTCGTGGCATCATGGCCGGCGGAATGATGCGGGATCGTGACGGAAGGGGTGCCCCTGGCAGGGGTGGCCTTACCCCCAAACCGGGCCTCAGTTCGGGAAGAGGCGCTTCCCAGGGCAGCGAGAGCCGCTTCACCTCACAGCGTCGCTGAGACTGGCGCCCCCCGCAGTCCGGGAGTAGTATCACACCCATCTTCACCTTAACAAAGTCCGCATATATGAAAAATCCTTTTTTTGGCTTTGGAATGTCTCTCAGCCTGTCAGCCATTTCTTTGATGTGCAAGACAAATGAGAAAACAAAAAAAAAAAAAACCCACCAGCCTCCTTGGTTTCCGGGCCTTGAGCTGAGCCTTTGTAAGCATTAAGCTGTATTCCAAGACGCAGCACAGGTCTGTCAGGAGAGGCCCTGCACTGGCATGCAGCAGCACAGCCCATCATCTGAAGAAGAACGTAAACACTCGGGGCGGAGGTGGGGAGTCTGCACGCTTCATGTAAACCCTGTTGGAGGTGCAGCCCGCAGTGTGTGTGGCCTGGAATCTGCCTCTCTGCTTTCTGTCTGATGCTTGGACTTGAAACCAATAGCCTTCAGGCACTCAGTATGCACAAGTGGGTTTTGCGTCTGCTGGCTTCCTTGGGTGGAGCCCCCTTAGCTAGCTGGAGGCCATACCCACTGATAGCCCCTTAGCTAGCTGGAGGCCACGCCCACTGATAGCCCCTTAGCTAGCTGGAGGCCACGCCCACTGATAGCCCCTTAGCTAGCTGGAGGCCACGCCCACTGATAGCCCCTTAGCCAGCTGGAGGCCACGCCCACTGATAGCCCCTTAGCCAGCAGGAGGCTGGACACCGTGGCCTCTGCTTCTGCCGACTTCCTGGCTTGCTGTGAAGGTGCTGCCATTCTGGTCTTTGAGTGGGTGTAGCCTGTGAGGTGCTCGGCACTGAAGCTTTGGAGGCTCGTGCTTTAGGTTTATATTTTGGTTTTAACTTCGTAGTTTCCAGGTACTGCCCAGGCACAGCGTGGGGGGCGTGGTGTTCGCTCACTCACCATGAGTATATAGAAACATGCAGAATCTCAGCTGGTCGACTTGTCGTTATTATGATGGTGCCTTTCTCCTGCTGCTGGTCTCGTCGCTGGGCCCTGGCTGTACGCAGTACAGCGGCTTCAAAGCAGAGGGGGTTTCTGGGTATGCTGAATGCCATCCCGGGTCACCTGACCTAAGTTCAGGGAAATTTGCAGTGTGAGGTTTTTTTTTTTCTTAAAAGAAAAAAAAAAAAACACATTTTACTGGTCTGTTCAACAGATGTTAGTGGAATTTAACAAGAGGTGCCTGAAATTCTGGTACATGATTTGGTTCAGAAGTGCAAAATGATTTCGGTTACATTTTTTTAAAACCGCATCCTACTGACATGCAACTTTTATACAAGGATGAAAAGAAGACGGAGCTGAGGATCAGGTTCAGCGTTTGGGTTTGTCCCAGCTGGGTGGCCAGTGCTGCTCAGGGACTTTGGTCCAAAGTGGGAATTTGACACAAGACGTAACCGCACTGTAAAAGTAAAGCCTTTCATTGCCTGTGACACAGAAGAAATGGATTGTAAAGGAGTGAATTTAGGTATCATGGCTCTCATGGACTCCTGGACTGCGAATAATTCCGTTTGTCAGGCTGTAAGACGGTGCTGTTTCCTCCCTGTGATTCCGGGAGTCTGACGCCAGACCTACTGGCTCGGATCTGACCCCCTCCTTCGCCCCCACCTCCCTAAAGCACTTTTGGTTTTCAGCTCTTTTCTTACTGAACTTTGAAATACTGAAAATGACTTTGCACCCATATTACTGCCCTTGTATCTAACGGAAGCGTCTGGGGATGCGATGTTTCTGGAAGTCTGTCCGAGGATATCACAGCTGTCGCTGTTGGTGTCTGAGGTGAAGATGCTCACGTGTTTTATAGCAGAAAAGATTCAGCCATCTTAGTTTTAATTTGGTTTAAAAAAAAAAAAAAAAAACAATAAACCTAAATGTGCAAGTAGGGTAAGAAGACCTTCCTTCCTATTTGAATTTTAAATTTTGTCCTGACAAATTGCCAAAAAATGTTCTGCGCCTGGACTGACCAGCTCTCTCGTTCTGGGTTGTAAGACACATCTGACCACCTTGAGTACATGCAGTAGATGTTCTGAAAAAAGCCTGGTGTCCTTACCGAGAAGGGTGTGTCCATCTGATCCCAACAGCAGGCACACGGACCCTCTTCCCTGATTGGCTGAGCTCACGCTGCGACCTACTCGTCAAACACACAGACCTTGATGATCTGGCATGGGTGATGTCCAGGATTGTGACATAGACTAATGTAAGCTACAGGCTCTCTGGGCGGAACCGGAAGTTAGCGGTCCGGCCTGTTGGCATCGGAGAAGTTTACAGGCCGTGATCTGTTAGCCTCTCTTCATGTTTACAGTAGCAGCCATTTTCCATCTATCCCTTCAGGAAGCGTAAAGCAGAGACTGTTAACATTCCCCTGTTGAAAAGGCCCTTCTGTAACGGGAAGCTGATGGTGACTCACTGAGCAGAGGCGCTCTCGTGTGCCTCTGGCCGGGTGCATGATTGCTGCCGTTTCCCTTTTAGTATGTTGCAGGTGGAACGTTTTTATTTTAGTTTTCCATGAATGTGTTGGACTGATAATAAACTACTGAAGCCACTCCGCTCTGTGTCCGCTCTTAGAGCACTGCCCCACGGCCCCATGATGCATGTTTATGGTTTTATGCGGAAACCTGCTGTATCTACGACTAACCGCGGAGACTGGATGTTCCGGCTCTTCCTGCTTCCTGCCTCTCAGACAGCTCCTTGCCAGTCCCCTCTCCCCTATCACGGTAAAGTATTTCCCCAAATATAATGTAGATTCTTATAAATACTGTGATGAAATGTTCATCGAGGGACACAAAATGGGCGGCCTTCTGTCCCATGGGCTAATTCTGTGTATGGGGGGGGGCAGTTGCTATTAGTGATGGGTTGGTGTCCCGTGACTCGTATAGGAATAAAAATTGCTTCTCTATCAATCTTACATTAAATGTGCTGCTTATTACAGTGATTACGTATAAAGTCACTTTTATTCAATAGTGATGAGCCAGTGAAACTTCATGTAGTTTTTAATGAAGTCACATTTGCTCCAGTACAACTTGTACATTTTCTGGAGAATGCGCACTGCTTCCCTTGGCAGCCCTGTGTACCTTAGTTCTTTCCCTGTTTCACCACAAATGATTCAGCTCAAGATCTGTGTGGTAATTAACACAAAGTTGAATCAGGTGTGTTGAATGAGGGGCAACCCAAAAATGTACCAGCACAGATCATAGGGCAATACTAGTCTTGCCAATTAATTGCAATTTGCAATTTCAACTCGGGTGAGGGGGTGGGCACTGCCTCCCCTCAGACTACACCCATGGTGTCTGAGATGCTGAAACCACTCAGTCTGCCACAAACAATCGCACCACATTCAAAATAGTTTATAGTTCAAAATGATCCCCTCAGGTTGTACAAAGGGTAATTATGTACCCAACAAAATAACCATCACAGCGCCTCGGTGTCATGATCGGCGAGTGACGAGCAGGTGAGAGAGGCGAGAGCAGCCAGGTTGAACTGAAGACCGGGGTTTTATTAAAGACAATTGACAGGACAGGTACACTCACGCAGTATCGACAATGACAGATCTGACTAGACGGAACTTAGACGTGGACTAAATCCACATGACAAGCTGGCATTAACAAGAAACAGGTGAGAACAATCAGGTATTAACACGAGGTAAGACGGGGGCGTGGCACACACGAGGATTGGACGGAGCAGGACGTGACACTCGGTATGAGTTCTGTTCTGATGCAACTGTGCATGTCCCTCCTGTGCCGCGTGGGTCACACCCCCCTTCAGATCTACCTTAGGTCAGCCTGCACACGGAGCTTCACCGCGGGACGGTGAGAAGCAGCCCTTCCTTTCTCTCCTTTTTTCATCACCACCTTCCCAGGCTGAAACAGCCACCTGTAGCTCACAGGTTTTTTCTGGAGCTCTGTGTCTGAGCCAGAGAGTACAGTGACAGTCTCAGGCAACCATAACATGAACAGCAGGTCACATACTCCGTTCTCTACATTATACAGCACCATCATACCAGACACAAAACAGAAATCTCCGGAATGCAGCAGTTTGTTTAGCTGGAATGTCACATCATCTCACTAATGGTATTATCCAGGTAAACTAAACCATTTAAAACTTTTTAAGACCACTATGAGTGCAATTTAAGATCAATTTCACCTCCACACAGGCAGAAAAGTAAGAAGGATATGAAGGGAAATCAGAGTCCCGGAATGACTTGCAACGTAAGTTAATTTATTCACATTCACTATGGACGTTCAGCCGTTTCTTTTGTTGATGAGAGGAGACACCAGGTCTTGGTGCTTCCATGCTGGTTCCGTTTAGTAGTTTTGTTACAGCATGTTCAGTATAATTTTTTTGCAAGACAAATTCATGCAATTTTACAAAAGTAACACTGACTTCATAATTGAATAATTTTTTTAGACTTGTTAAAATCTTTAGACATTTTATGGCCTAAAATTCAGATTATTGGATTTTAGACTTTGCAGAATTTCTGTAAAATACACAGCAGTCTAGAGAGATTCCCATCATATCTGATAGAAAACATGGTTGTGACTTTCTAATGAAGGTATTTACGTGTCTTTGTTTTGTCAGTTGACCTTAAAATAAAAAAAGGAATTTTCAATATGGCATCATTCATAAATGACGACAGCGCCTCTCCTGTGCCTGAGTGATGCAGGCATGTCCTAGCGCACTCCAGGGGGCGCTGGAGCAGAATCGCCGGGATGCCCAGCTTCCAAGCTCACATACAGGGCATTGGGATGACCACCAGGGGGCAGTGTGTGACATGAGGCACACCTGGGGAAACCGAGGCCTTCGAACACTCCTGCCTTAAAGCTCTGCTGAGAACCACAGAAGGTCTTTCAAGAAGCTTTGGATCTGAGGTGATGCTTTGGGCCCAGCTCACGCTGTGTATGGCAGCCTTCTGCACTGAATGAGCCTCCCATTTCATCATTTTAAGCAGTTTTGGCAATGTGGGGTCATCTGTAATATTCTTCTGAATTTCTGAGTTCAACTCTTGACTGAACCTTTGATGTAAAAAAGATAGAACAATACCAGTTCCAAAAACAAAACTGTAAATTCAATTAAATGTTTTTTTTATTATTATTATTTCTGACAAATATGCTGTGGGGATAAATATGTGAAAATACAATCTGATGGAGGGACAATAATGAGAGTAATACATTGTGTTATACCGCCCCCTGCAGGATGATCTCTTAAGAGCCATCTTGTGATTTTTGCTTGTTCTATTAAGCCAATGCAATGGTATTACCTAACACTAAAGCCATCATTTGCGAAAAACTCACGCTGTAACAAACCAGAGCACAGCAGCCCCTGATCTGGGTCCATCTTGAGACATTTCAGCTGGAGTGAGAAAACACAGGTGGACTGAATCGGGCCCCAGAGGGAATTCTGTGCATTCAGCCAGGGTGACACAACCAAAGAATCCGCTCAATTTAACTGGCTTTGAGTTCTGTTCCAGAACAGCCTTTAAACTCAAGCAGTTTCCATACAACTCAAGGAAAGAGCACGATAGAACCTTTGGGGAATTCTGATTGCACGGCAGAATGCTTGGGGAATCTCTTTGCCAGTTCTGGCTCCAGTACAACTAGGAGTTAAGCACTAGCAAAAAGCAGATTCTGATAAAACAGTTCTTGATGCTTGGGGAGCAGGTTACCTATAAACCAACAGACAAGCAGACATTTCATTTACTCTGTTGTGTAAGGCGCTATATAAAAATAAATTGAACTGAATTGAATTACTATTTTACATATTTGATAATGCTACCATATGTATGATCAGCTTGACTAAGAAGAAGATGGGCTGACCAAAGCATATCATGATGCGGGGAGCTGGTTGACGTCAGAGACCTTGGAGAAGAGACACTTTCCTGAGCAGACAGCCGCACGTCTACGGGCCTGAAACACCAGCGACACCCACTACAGCAGAACATTCATGTCTCAGCAACACCATTTACTGCTCACCAACATCTGCTCATGTTCTCCAGTTTGATGTTACGATGGATTTTATGTGTTTCGCAGGTGAACACCAAAACTCACACATCAAGCGCCATTAAATGCCACTTCAACTGGATTTTATTAGACTAAAACCTTAAAAAATATCAGAGTGAAGGATAAAAACATTCTTGCGCAATGTGACATAAAACAAGAGCAGCTGAATGATTAAAACCTCAACATCCATGTATTCAGTATTATTTTACTATTTTTCTCATAGGTTTAAAGTTTTTTTCACATGCCATGGATGATTTTAATGAGAATTAAGTGGGTTTAAACTGGGTTTTACAAATAAACATAGCCTAGCCGTATCTGCCATTTTCAGACATGCCTGTAGCTAGAGTTGGATGTCTCGAGACCGGTTTTACACTGTCTTAGTCTTGTCACAGT